GTTCATTTCTATTGACCTGAGCTCCCTTTCGTTTTTTTTTGTAAATTTCGGACTTACCGTTTCCGAGTTTTGGGGTTTTATTCATTAAAAAAGGGGGGATTTTCCAGTTCTCAGACAATAACTCAAAAATGATTTCACCAATTTGCAAGAAACTTTGGTGAATTGTTTATTTCTATTGACATGAGCTCCCTTTTGATTTTTATAAATTTCAGATTATACGTTTCTGATTTATGGGGTTTTATTCATTACAAAAAGGGCGATTTTCCAGTTTTCGGACAATAACTCAAAAATGCTTTCATCATTTTTGATGAAACTTTGGTAAATTGTTTATATCTATTTTTGTAAGCTCCCTTTTGATTATTATAAATTTTCGATTTTACATTTCTGAGTTATAAGATTTTATTTGTTTATAGTCTGACAACAGATTTACAAAGTATTGCGCAACAGAACAGTGAATTGCACAACTGCACAGTGTATTGCACAACTGCACAGTGTATTGCACAACAGCAAGAAATCTTTCATATAACCAATTTCAAGTTCTTTGACTACATTTATTCAGAAACCTATAATATATCAAATATTAGATTACAATCCAAATTCAAACCTGTATCAAGCTTGAATATTGTGTCCATTTTTGCCCCAACTGTTCAGGGTTGGACCTCTGCGGGCGTATCCAGCTGTTCTCAGCGAAGCAGTTTATTGAATTGCCTAGGGGAAAAATAGCTTGTATATAAACTTTCGTCAAAAATTCACCGTGGGATCAAAACTGTATCATATGCCCTTAATGAGATCAGTCTAAAGATACTTAGTGATATCAGTCTAAAGATACTCAGTTTTATCATTCTATTATCATGATTATCTAAAGATACTTAGTTCTAAAGATACTTAGTTCTAAAGATACTTAATGAGATCAGTCTAAAGATACTTAATGAGATGAGTCTAAAGATACTTAATGATATCAGCCTAAAGATACTCAGTGATATCAGTCTAAAGATACTCAGTGAGATCAGTCAAAGATACTCAGTGATATCAGTCTAAAGATACTCAGTGATATCAGTCTAAAGATACTCAATGAGACCAGTCTAAAGATACTTAGTGATATCAGTCTAAAGATACTCAGTGAGATCAGTCTAAGAGTACTAAATGATATCAGTTTAAATATACTCAGTGATATCAGTCTAAGAGTACTCAGTGAGATCAGTCTAAAGATACTTAATGATACCAGTCTAAAGATACTCAGTGATATCAGTCTAAAGTTACTTAATGATATCAGTCTAAAGATACTTAGTGAGATCAGTTCAAAGATACTCAGTAGGATCAGTCTAAAGATACTTAGTGAGATCAGTCTAAAGATACTCAGTAGGATCAGTCTAAAGATACTAAGTGAGATCAGTCTAAAGATACTCAGTAGGATCAGTCTAAAGATACTTAGTTCTAAAGATACTTATTGAGATCCGTCTAACAAAGATACTCAGTAGGATCAGTCTAAAGATACTCAGTGATATCAGTCTAAAGATACTCAGTGAAATCAGTCTAAAGATACTAAATGAGATCTGTCAAGAGATACTCAGTGAGATCTGTCTTAAGATACTTAGTTCTAAAGATACTCAGTGAGATCAATTTAAAGATATTTAGTGAACTCTCTAAAGATACTTTATGAGATCAGTCTAAAGATACTCTTAGTGATGTCAGTCTAAAGAAACTTAATGAGATCAGTCTTAACATACTCAGTGAGATCAGTCTAAAGATACTTAGTGATATCAGTCTAAAGATACATAGTGAGATCATTCTCAAGATACTTAGTGAGATCAGTCTAAAGGTTCTTAGAGAGATCAGTCTTAAGATACTTTAACTTAAATATGAAGGAGTAATTGGGGTGACAACATGGACAGATCATGAGATGTGTGTAATTCGTAAATTTAACTCAATTTCTAGACGTCAATTTTAATGCGAGGTTCGTTAATTGAACTTGATTCCTTTACATCAACTTTAATACAAGGGTTTATTGGGGTTACAACATAGACAGACGTAGTATTTCCATTAAACATTATTATTTATAACATATTTACACTTGATCACGAAATTTAAAGAGTCATTTACGGCAACAGTTTTCCTTTTTATGACGATATTCTCCAGTAAGCAGGTAATGTGTAAAAGATTAAATAATATTCCTCGCTACTCGGATTTCATATTGTTATTTTTTCTGTGGGATTTGCTGTAAACCTGCCATTGATCTGTTTTTCTCAAAAGTTTGTTGTGCAATTCATGAGTTAAAGTCAATGTCCGTCTTGAAAAGTGGCGGATTCAGGTAGGACGTATAGAGGACGTAAGTTTTGCTTTTTGATAAAAAAAAATGTGTTTTGCCGTATGAAAATCACATTAACACTCTCTTTCCTTGAACACTAAACCCCCCCCCCCCCCTGAAGATCTCTTAAATAGTTATTTTTTTTATAATCCATCTTTTAAATCAGCTTCTGTATTGATACTGTTCTATAATAAAAAACTTTTAAATGTCGGTCCTGAATGCAAATGCTATTTGCACTTTTGATCATGTAAAGGCTAAAATCAATTGTGACTGTGTGTTGACCTATATATATAGTGCTGCAACGCTAGATTGTAATTTTAATATAGCCATGAGTGTAACAGGAACTGTGTAACCATCCTCAGCATATGAGTTCATCTAATTCCTAATCTATTGGTTCTAGCTAGTTGTTAGTTCAAAGTGATCAATGTTCAACATGCATATATATATACATACATATATATATGCGTGTGTATTCACTATTGTGACCCATTTCTTGTCTTTTTTCCCGTGCCAAGTTAGGACAAAGTTTGGCCTCCAATGCCAACCGATTAACGGCGAACACATTTGAAATGACTTGCGGGTGCTGAATTGAACGACTTTCTCTTTGACTTATTTTTTGTATCATCATACATATTTCTTGATTGATTGTTGGGTGCTCAACGTCCAGGGGCAAAGGTTTCATGTATGTTCGGTGTTTGTTTTGTAGAATGTGTTTCATTGATTGCTGCCTGTATAGCACCCAGGCGCCAATGTTTCATACATATTCATAACGTGACCCAGGAGCCGATATTTCATGCATACTTATACATCTAGGAGCCGATATTTCAGGCATATTTTACATCCAGGAGCCGATATTTCATACATATCCATACATCCAGGGGGCGATATTTAATTCATATTCAGAACGAATTTGACTGAACACATTCTGTAACTTTTTGTTCCTATTACCGTATACACTGTTCCGTGATTTACACTTTACGATGAGTATATTGAAAAGATGTTGAAAACAATCTATTTAAAAAAATTTCGTTTCAAATCTATGCCTCGTCTGCAGATTAGCCACTCATTAAAAATGCCTTTCTAAAGAATCCATATATCTTTTTTAATAGACTAGCGTGATGTTAATATATCTAAAAAAAAATACATTAAATTACAAACGAATTTACCTTGCTTGGACAATACTGACGAAGTAGATTTATGAGTATTGTAACAAGAGTGCACAAGCTTCCATTTTGAGCAAACTGTACTGAAATATTTCATTTTGCGTGACAGTTCATTTAGGGTCCTTTTCGCGGTCCGTAAACTACGACGATTTCTTTGGAAAATCAGAGACAACTATTTGGATTAAAACAACTAAACCTTGAAGTGTCGTATGTAAACTACAGGATAAAACAATATATGTACATTATCGGAATTCTAAAATTTATTTGTACTCACTACAAAATAGAACATCTCAGCGAGCCTCGCTTTTCATCCTGTTTCTGAACTAGTATTCATGAAAATGAGATCAGTGTCAGATGAACCCTGCCATACGGACATATACACCTAAGAATAATTCCATACACCAAATATAGATGACATATTTCTTATAGCATTTGAAAAATCGGAATAACGTTGACAAATGAAACATGAAAATGAGAACTAGGACAGAAGACCCTGCCAGATGGACATGTACCCCAATATAGTTGACTTATTGCTAATAGCATTGAGAAATGGGTTTACACATGAAAATAATAACATGATCAGTTGAACTCTGCCAGACGGACATACACAACGACTAATACACATTCTGTACATTAAATATAGTTGACGCATTGCTTATAGTATCTGAGAAACGGACTTCATCACGAAATCTTAACGTTGAACAATAAACCCTGAAAAAGAAGTCAAGGCAACCCTTCCAGACAGCAGGCCTGTACACCTTACAATATCCCGAGATCCTGGCTCAAAAGAAGTCAAGGCAACCCTTCCAGACAGCAGACCTGTACACCTTACAATATCCCGAGATCCTGGCTCACTGCGACACGTACAGACGCGAAGAGGAAGTTTGACTAAGATGCCAGGATAATCTTACAATTATGACTATACTCAAAATGTAGTTGACAAATTGCTTTTAGTATCTCAGAAACGAACTTCACCACGAGAACTACGTGCATTAAGTAATAAAGAAGAAAAAATACAAAATTACAGATTGATAATAAATTGATGAAGTGTCAATCTACTGTCCATGAATTGTGTGTGTTTGATACCAGAAAAACACAACTCCGGGAAGTTATAAATAATGAAAAATCATCTTTTGGTCAATTATTAATGGTTTACCGGCATGCATGATATATTTGTTAAATTAACATTTTTAATTGTCAAGATAAAATTAAACTCGCACAAATATAAGTTTTCTCAACCTTTAATGTTCTTTAAAACATGGTCTTGGTATTGAATAAATATATTAACTCTAAATCTAAACTTATAACAAAACAGCAACAATTTGATAATTATAATAGGAAGAATTGAAGGAAACAAATATGAAGATATATTCCCCATTCGGCTTTTAACAAAAATGTCCTTTTTCAGTGTCATTAGTCTTTTAATCACCTCTTTAATTCAATGTCATTCCCCATTGGTCTTTTAATCTGTTTCTATGGCAACCAGGTAATGTGTGAATTGTCAATGTTATTACTTATCTATCTATCTATCTACATGTATCTGATACATTATTGTCGCTGTTATACCTGGGATTGATTTTCAGGTAAAATATAATCTTCTGTCGTAGCCTGTCGATTTAAGTAAACACTATCATTCTTAAACGATCAGGTTTCTAAACTGTTATCGCTATTCAAGTGAAATGCGGAACTATTTTATAACATACATGTACATGTATTGTTTTATATGAGATGAGTATTATTCATTCAGTGTGACCTGTATCCATCGAAATGTATTTTTAAAACCAACCGGAAGGAAACTCGTTTGAAGTGGGACTAATTGTTACGTATGAACAGAGTTTTTCACGCACCTTGAATACTATCTGATGATAAATTATATGTACTGTTTATACTAGCCAGCAGGTGCGAGATATATATGTATTGTAAAACCACCGTACATCGACATTTGTCAATTTTTACAATTTAAAGTCGTAGTTTTGGAAATTCAACATTTTGCGATTAGAGTGTAGTATACAGTATAGTGTTTCATCAAGTGTATAATCGGAAATGATTATGTTTAACTTAAGTTAAAGTGAGGAAGTAATTTATTTTCTTTTTAATAATTAACCGTGAATTAAAAAGAGGATTTTATAAAAACATGGGTTGTTTTCATAGTCAAGATGGAATACCTGAATCGGACTCAAACGTTGAAACTTTGTACCTTGCAAGACGCGTTAGATCCAAGAAAATCCAAAACAGCGCGGCGAAGGCGAGTGGAAGTCAGTTTCATGATATAACGGCAGATGTATCCAAGGACAAAACTTTCGAAAGTAAAAATTTAGCAGCGGAGGTGAACGATTCGTCAAAAGACGTTCAAGGAAAGGCATATTCTATTTTCCCTAAATGGAAAGGATACAAGATGTGTAACGCCTGTGAAGACACAGAGTCTAAGACAGTCAATAAGGGATTCAAACACAGAGGACATTGTAATAGGTGTTCTATGGTCAAAGAAATGAAAAATAATCTCCGCAAAAACTCGCCACAAAGCATGAACATTACAGCTTTTGCCAATCTTTTAGCATTGGTAAGTATATCAGCTAGGTTTTATGAGGATCTGGATGGGGGGTTCTGCATTTCTTTATTCGTTAGTGGTTTAGATTTTTTTTTCTATTCTTGTATCTATTTAACTATTGACCATTATTCTCTATTCTTATTATCACCTCATTATTCTTTGTTCTTTATTTTTTTTTTTTCCCAATTTTTCTCTATTCTTTAATTATTTTTTTGTTTGCTCCTTATTCTGCACTTTTTGCCCATTATTCTCTATTTTGTAAACCCCGACCAGACCCTCTTTTATGTGATGTGTATGTTAATAGAAAGGGTTGGGAATTTAAAGGATATATTGGATCAGATGTAATACAGGTTGACGCCCCTCTTACATCTGAATGATATCCTCGATTGAATAAGAACAGACTGTTTCAACTTATTTTTTGGTGTAAAATGTTGAAAAGACTTCCTTTTGAACACTCTTCTGTTGACTATTCTCGTTGAGTCTACATCTTTTGAGATCTATGACAGAAGAGGGAGAGTTATTTTGGATATTGAATACTGCATGTAATGCTGATGTCTACTTCATTGTGTACATGTATTTGAGTTTGGATCTTTACTCAGCATAACTTATAAACGCATTCAATGTTAAGTTTAATGAACAATCCATAGATTTCCTCCAGCCATACCCGATAAAACAGACCACAAAAACATTAAACGCTTTGGAAAAAGACGATAAATCTGGGTAGTCTCAGAAGAGAGGTATCCCCCCCCCCTTTTCAGGTAATGGCCATAACTTATCTTGTAACCTTCACACGTCATTTTCGAAAAATCTTTTCGGGTTTTAATAAAATTTGTAAATAATAGAATTTACAGTTTCATACAAATGTGGCTGTTTTGACATAACAAGATTATGTTGTATCTCTGTATATGTAGATATTCAAATTCCTCAGGGTTATTTCTACTGAATTTGAGGAAAATTTGATAATAATTTCTCAGTCTGTAAAAACTCATACAGTAAAATCAAATCATGACCATTTATTTACATTTGCCGTTTATGGTATGTTTTGCCTAATCATCCAGGGTTTTGTTTTGCAATAAAGTTCATTATATTCCACCGGTTTGTATACATAATATCTGTCTTCGTGTTTTCAACAGCGAGATTGTTTAACACATTGGAATCTTTCATTTTATTCAGAATTTTTAATCTATAGTTTGAGTTTTATTTATTTGCCCTGATTCTTTTGGTCAAAATTAATAGTGCAGACAGAGACATTTGATACAATGTCTCTGGTGCAGACATTAGTCATTACAGACATGTATGTATAAGTAAGTCTGATAAAAGCTCGAAAACATATATATATATCACTTGAAGTGAAGGTTTAAATATTGAAAAAAAATATCGATTCTTATAAGATCTCCCTGGTTTTTGTTTGTATTGTTGTCGTGATATCCCTGGTGGTATTTTGTTTGTATTATTGCTGATATCAATTTGTCTATTATTCCGACATTAATAAAGTGTTTTGTCTGTGATGATTATTATGACCGAGAAGGGAAGGGTTTAGGTCAAAAACAGTTTTCTACATTGCATTTTTATTGATATAAGATAAACTGTACTCTCTTTGCCCTTTTAAATCCTCCACATATTAATCTTTATCTATGTATGTGCGTCGACCACTGGTGCATTGTGCAAATCCGAGGCTACATGTTCATCGATGAAACCTGCACATACGCCACCGTTAAGATCTAAACAGAGCGATCCGGGCACTTGGGATGTATTTACAGTAATAACTATGGTAAAAAGAAAAAATATTTATTGTTTTTATTTTACTTGTTTTTAATTTTCTATGGAATTATACCCTGTTACGTTTCTTAGAAAATACATATTACGTTTCTTGTCACTATAATGGAATTCTATGCGACTGTCATACAAGTGTCACTGTGAGAGGTTTAGCTACCTATAAAACCAGGTTTAATCCACCATTTTCTACATAAGGAAATGCCTGTACCGAGTCAGGAATATGACAGTTGTTTTCCATTTGTTTGATGTGTATGAGCTTTTGATTTTGCCATTTGATAACGGACTTTCCATTTTGAATTTTCCTTCAAATTCGGTATTTTTTGTTATTTTTCTTTTTTCTTACAAAAATACCCTTCTACGGAAGTTTCAATAATAAGTAATGTCTGTATGTACTAAAGTTGTAAGTAGTACATGTATTACAGTAGTTAACTAGTATAGGTAATGACAGGATATTATCATGTTATATCTATTTTTATTGTTGCCCTTTAACCTTGTCGTGCATAATAATGTCATTATCACTGGGGTCATTTATCTTTTTATTATGATTATTGTATTGTGACAATTATCGGTATGTTTTCGATGTTATAAAACGTTAAAGTACACGAGTGAATGAATGAATCTGTATTTCCTCCATGTATTTTTCGATGCTAAGAACATTTGGAAACAAGAGCCTATTTACAAAATAAACAAAATATCATGTATGTTAACATATAAACAGTAACTGGTAATTAAAAAAAATGAATAATTGTTTATCAATCAGTGTCTATAAAAAAAGTCAGAGTTACATGTAAACTGTTTTTAAATAATGCATGTCTGATTGTTTTATATACATTTGGGAGGCATGTTTTGCTATAGTTAGGCATGTTTTACTCTATATATGTAATACAGCAAGCAATCTAGACTACACTATAACATCAAATTTGTATACTGTATGAGCTGCTCCTAATAGCACCTCAGGAAGATCATCGTCGTCAAGATTAAAAAATATCCACGGACTTTTGAATCTGCAGTTTATCCACAAATCGGCAAACTTTTTCAGTTTCGTCTTATATTTTCAATCGCAAAATGTGTAAAAATTTGGAACACGTACGCCACTGTAATTTTTCTGTACGAAAAAGCATATGAAAAACGCCACAAATTTTAACAGAAATAATCATTGTTATGACTCCTATTAATTAAGCCGGTTATGTAAGGTTTTCGTTGAAATCGAAAATGTCGATACCTATGATGTGTGGTCTATATAGCACCTATGAAGCTGTACTAGGTTGGTTCATTTTATATGACAAAAAAATATCCTCCACACATAAGGGAGAATATGATGCATGAATATCTGGTCTCTCAAAATAATGGGAAAAGGTACCAGTGGCAGATCCAGAAATTTTCATAAAGGGGGGGCCCACTGACTGCCATAAGAGGGGGCTATCTTAGTCATGTTTCAGTGATTCCCTAAATAATCAACCAAATTTTTCCCACAAAAGGGACCCCGGGCACCCTGCCCCCCTAAATCCGCCTCTGAGTACGCAAAGAAAACTGCAAATAACACATGATTGGTTCAACGAAACATATCTTTACCCAGTCTGATTAGAATACTGATCCTGTGTCCACACTTTGTAAGCGTAGCGAGGACACAGATTCTGTTTTTTTTTTTCTTTCCTTTTTTAATCAGATTGCTATCTATACCCTTTTATGAAAAAAAGGGGACCTCCGAATTTTTTTTTCTGTTTTGTCAGTATGACGACGCAATATATAATCAGATTGCTATCTATACCTATTTCTCAATAAAGGTGACCTCCGAATTTTTTTTTCTGTTTTGTGTGTATGACGACGCAATATATTCTAAGGTATACACTATTACAATATCTCGGGGTTTTGTTTAAGGTAGGAGAAATTTAGATTTGTAACGATGATCTTCGTCGATAGGTTACCGATCTTTAAAAGTCAGCCGTAATTTAAATTCATTTTTGTTTAGAAGTTTGGTCATATTTCTTTTGTTCTTGTGATCTTTAAAAGATAATGTCATACCATAGTAGTACAAATATAAGTTGAAATGAGGTAGGATACAAACCTTAATATTTATTTTTTTATTTTAAGTTCAAGTATTTAGAAAATATATGACAAATATAAAGGATGAAAAATAATCGATTTTATACACACTACCGATTACGTTCGATAATCGATTATGTTTTCACCTGATTGCCCAAGACTAGAAACTGTTGAAATACCATAGATGTCCTGGGGACCACGGTTGTCAAGTCTAAGATACAGACAAGGAAGCGCGTTGTGGTATATAGTGAAAACAAACCTGTGTTCGATCTCATCATCCTTTCTATGTCAATATCTTTCTTTCTTTCCACTTCTGTTCTCAATATCTTTCTTTCTTCTTCTGTTCTCAATATCGTTCTCTCTTTCTTCTTCTGTTCTCAATATCGTTCTCTCTTTCTTCTTCTGTTCTCAATATCGTTCTCTCTTTCTTCTTCTGTTCTCAATATCGTTCTTTCTTTATTTTTCTGTCCTCAATATTTTCTCAATATCTTTCTTCTTCTGTTCTCAATATCGTTCTCTCTCTCTTCTTCTGTTCTCAGTATCGTTCTTTCTTTATTCTTCTGTCCTCAATATTGTTCTTTCTTTCTTCTTCTGTTCTCAATATCGTTCTTTCTTTATTCTTCTGTTCTCGATATCGTTCTTTCTTTCTCATTCTGTTCTCAATATCGTTCTATTTCTTCTTCGTCCAGAATATTCCGATGAAAATGCATGAAATATTTGCCACTGGACGTAAAACATACAACGACCAATAATCCCTCCTTTTTTGAAAGTTGCACCCAAGTGTTTTATACACCAACTCGTTCCAAATAGTAACAGCAGATTCTGTAGAATCAAAACACCAGATAAAATATTGTAACTTATTATTAAATGGGTAATAATCTAGCTGAATCACCGGCATATTATACCATGTATGCCTCTTAACTAAAACGATCGCCATTGGTTGCTATTATTTCTATTTCTTGTTTATTAATTTAAGTGTTAACGGCACAGTGGTGGATTCAGATGGAGCGTAGAGGGAGTTTGCCCCTCCCCCTTTTTGATCAGAAAAAAATATCAATTTCAGCATAAAATCGTCAAAACATATTTCGCTTCTCTACTCACGGTGCTATTTTACCAGTATGGACAATTACGCCCTTCTTTCCTATACCCTGAATCCGCCCCTGCGGCAGATTACCTATTGTCTCATTTAAACT